AACATATCTACTTTGTACACTGGAAAGTTTATCTTAATTGTTAGATATTCCCCTTTTATTTGCTATTTTTTTCATAAATTGACATACTTGTTTTTTTTTTTCATATTATTTGCATTCATTGTGAAAAAGTGTGTAATTTTATTTTTTCAGGTTTATAAGAAATCATCATTTCACATAATCTTTTCTCTAAGAGTTCTAGCCAACTTTCGTTCTAGTTTTTCTATCTAAATTTTTCGTCACAATCAATTTCACATAAAAGTTTCTCCATTAGAGAAGTAGTCCCTAAAAAGGACCAAGTATATTGGTTGGCACCCTACTCCATTTGCGGAGAATGAAAGCAATCAGGTCATTATCACTAGTCACTAGGCAACCACCAACTCTGAGTCCAGTATTCAATTCACCTTACCTACCACAATGAGATTCAAACAGAGCTACTTCATTCTGGGTTCCATATCTTTCATACTAGAAAGCCATAAATAATTCTCACAAAGAATGTAAACATTTTTACCACTGAGTGCCTGAAATTTCCAACTCTTGTTTCTTACATTCAAACCCCACCTAACCATCTTTTTCTTTTAACCTCTGTAAAAGACAGATAATTAAACACTTACCACAACCTTAATGCTACTCCTATGACCAAACAAACAGGTTTAGAATGGATAGGTGTTACATTTATAAGCAGTGTTTCATACTTTTATGCAGCCAGAATGACTTTCACATGGGTAGCACTCAGATTTTCCTATCAATAAGAAAAATGCCTGCAAGATAAGGAGGAATAAACTATAGAGCTCTCAAGGTTTCTCCAGCACAAGAACAGAAGATCTCTGTGAAGCAGGACAGCCAGATCTGGAGACCCCTTTCATGGTAAACAATAACGCCAAATGATCCCTGTTATGCTCTATTTGCTATGCCATCTGATCTTTTCATGTCTGACAGTTAAAAACAGTGTATTGGACCAAAAACAGTGAAGATCAAAGTGATTTTTATTTCCTCACCTCAGTGAATGGTTTCTCTAAGAGAGAGGAGTGCATAATAACTCAGAAGGGAAGGCCGCTCTCAGAGGAAAGCCTGTGTGGTTTAACAGGGGAAGGCTTGTACTATCTTGCTTCTACTCAGAAGACAATATTCAGCTTAAAAAACAAGAGAGTGACAACAGATAATGTTATCTAATAAGAAGATTCAGAACTGAAACATTTATCTCTTCAAAATATATACTTATCTAGCATAAAAATAACTAGATAAAATTATTTAAATAAAATGAAGATAATCTCATGACATTTACCATACTTTCCAATTATTATTATTGCTTATTTTCTTTCTCAGAAAATTCAAAGCACCGAATTCAATCCCAAGTTCCACAGTATGTTAAAACATCAAGATCTTTTTCAACCTATTTTTTTTTTTTTTTGGTACTTTGTTTGCATTGATAACTGACTCTGAATAATATGCAAATTTGAAGTCTTTATGCAGCCTGACAGTCAGTCACTACTTTTACTAAGGTCTTTTTCACTGCTTAGTGAATCTCATTCACCTCATCATCCCTCATGACAGACGATAAGCAACATAATTTTATATACGTAAAATAATTTTTTGGCTTAAAAAAAATAACATTTACAACACACTAACTTATAGCTTGAAATTGCAGATAACCCCTTAGTTGTTTTTTTTCAGTCAAAGAAAAAAGATGCCTAAACTTGCCTTATGTGCTCTAGCTTCCATGTCATATAATTTAGCAGGAAATATACTCATGGCCTAACACAAATGCTTGCATCTCCAAAGACAAAAATACACCAGTTTAACAAACAAAAAAAAGCATGAAAATAATCATGGCAAATTTACAGGAGGAGCATTCAGAGAATTAGATACAGACTACTGAGTTTAATTGCTGCTTCAAAAAAAACAGTAATGAAAAGTGTCAGGTACCCTGTTCAAACATCAAGAGCTAGGAGCCCACTTTTTACAGTGATGGTGATTCTGATCTAGTACTGGTGTCCCAAAACAAGAAAAACAATATACAAGGTATGACTTCACATCAGCCACAGATATTCCACACATCACAGAACACAACAGTATATTTGCAGACAATTATATTTCAAAATTTGAAGGTCCGATGTTGTAAAAGTATTATGGGGCCTGCTTTGTATGAGGCCATCAGAATACACTGGAGGACTTCAAGTGACACGTCATGTTACTGGCTGAACACATTGTACACCCTATAAAAATACTTTCATTGCCAGATCAGAACTTTCAGAAAAGTCTTTTTGCAAAAAAAAAAAAAAAAAAATTGCTTAAGAACTAATTCACTTTTCTCTTCAGAATATTTCCCTTAAATACAGAGATTCAAAAACTTCAGAGTGCTGGGAAACAAAGGGAAATTGTGCTGTTATTCATAGCTTGTTGTACGTAGTATGCAAAGAATAACCATATTATTCCTCCTGACTCTAAATAACTTTTTGCTCAACTTCTGCCATAAAAGAATAATTTCCTAATCTTTAAGAGCTGTAATCTTTAAACTCACCTGCTGCAAGTTGTGTATGTATTTGTTTACGAGGACTAATACTTCCTAGATACAGAAAGCCTTAGACAATGCACCAAAAAAATTGACTGAAGTCTGCTGATGGAAGATTTATCCATTTTTAGCAAATGTCAAATCATTGGCTATTGCTTTTAAGATTAATAAAAGATATAATGGTTTCTAGATAGCCTCTAAATAAAGATTACTATGAATGGAGAAATGATTTACCAATAGTCACCACAATGATATTTCTTTAAAGGTTACAATCATAAGTTATTTAGCTGAAACACTGCTGAGAATGCCTGGTCATTTCTTGAATAATGCATAATGTTCATTGTAGATCTGATCTGTATTATAACAATAGATATTTCTAAAATAATGGAGAAAACTATCTCTTACTTTCCAATTGCTCAAGATATTTCCATGAAGTAATTGACTCTGAAAATATTATATGGAGTCACCTTAGAGTTCATTTGCAAGCAAAACTCATAGCGATCACTACACAATAGGCATAAGAGAACAAACTCATCATCTTTCATAGGCTTTTCAGGAAAGCTGTGACAAATACAGGGCAGAGTAAAGGACCTTTATGAAATCCTAAATTAAAAGGAATAAATTGGTGTACAGTACTGGGGAACAAATTTTAAACTAAGCTTTGAAATTTAATTATTAACACAAGCAGACCATCACATTGGGTAGGGATGGGGGAAGAGGAAGTGAGGGAGAGAGTGAAAAAAAAAGCAGTTCCGTACACCCTATACCATTCATATAATTTTTGAAATATCTTTGAGTCTATTCAGGAGATTGCTTGGGCATGAACAAAGTATAATGTCTAATGTTTTATTGTAGGAATATCAACTATACTCCATACAAAGCTGCTAACTATTTATATGAGCTTGTTTATCCTTATGAATTTCCTCAAGGGCAGCAAAAGTGACCTTAATAAATGAAAATGAATTTCTTTTGATGTTATTTCATGAATGTTTGATCAGAATGTGTTAACAGGACTTCACATAAGGAGAACTGGTGAAGCAATAAAATATACTTCTACTATACAGTTAATCCCGCTTATAGTGAATTCATATACAAAGAAACACCATCTATTAGTAATAATTATTATTTCAATATTCTGACCAAAAAAAAAAAAAAATCCTATTTAGTATAAAGAAACCCTACTCAGCATACACAGAGATCTGCAGAGACCACTTTCTACAACACAGGACATCTAGTAGAAACTTAGCTACAGGAATTTTGGGAGGAATTATGTATTTCAATAGATAGATTACAGAGCCTAGAGCAAGTTCACTTTATATCCAGCTTGAAACTATTGTTTAATTACCGGAGGGCTCATCCTGAGAAAGTGGTGAACATTTTCATACTATATAAGAAGGCTGATGAACCATGTTATACTCATGCTCTGGATGATGCAGTTATCCTTTTTTTTTCTTCACTAAAATTCACTTCACATGGCATTGCAGATAATATAAATGAAATAAACGAAGTGATGCAAATATATCCAACTAATAAATCATCAGTCCCAAAGTCCTTCAGTTGCTGCCCTTCATGTCTATCCACTGAAAATTATAACTTTGCTTAACTAATCTTTCTTCTTTTAAATGAAAGAGCAACTAAAAGCTCCTTTCACTGGCAGCACCAATAACCCTTTGCGGGCATTTCTGGTTTAATAAACCGCTAGTTTATAGTACTTATCAAACAGCAAGATCAGACTCTTCTTCATAAATAGCATAAGTAAAAAAATTACACAAAAATGTTCAGTTTACACAAGTCACTGGAAACCCTAGTTAGGAACCATTAGGAACAATACACATATAACCTCTAAAATCAAAGTTCTGATTCTTCTAATACCAGACTCGTATGGTGATTTATGACCAAAACATTACTTTTGCTGCCCTACTACTTGTTTAAAGATGAAAAGAGGGTGTTCAGTATTGAAAACAGGCTATATGGGCTGAAGTGTTGAGCCTACAGGCTCAGAAGTCAAAATGAATTCTATACGCATTGCAAATTGATGAATAAAATCATAGTCTCTAACCTGAAGATTTTAAAATTTTGATGTTATGTTCATGAACTCGGAGATACAATTCTGCCTTTAAGCTTTAATTATGGAAATTAAGTGATTGTTTGAATCCTCACACCAAGAAATAACACCACTTTCCCCTCAAATGCATAAGAAAAACAACACAATCATTGCTAAATAACTTTGAACAGTTAAATGTATGTTACCCAAAAGACTTACTGTTGTATTATTTATATCAGTAGGTTTGTTGTTAAATAAAAATAAATAAAAGAGGTTTATTTCACCTTCACATGGTGTCTTTCTCATGCAGACCTCAGATTTCCACATTTGTATCCCTTTAAAGGATTTGATATGCAGGGAAAGAAGAAAGGATGATGGTAAAAATTTCAATTTAGAGGTTACTAAAGGCTGCCATAGTCGATACAAAACAATGTATTTAGGCCATACCTTTTACTGATGTATTAGGTGGAGGTCCTTCCATTCTCAAGTTCCATGGAGGATCGCCTTGATTAGCAAAGTCCCTCATTTTCAGATAGCTAATTGTAAGTCGAATGATGGATGCCTTGTCAAGCTGGCTGGTAATGGCTGCAGGCAGCGGCAACAACTTTGCCAACTCATAGAATTCAAAATTCTCCTTTCCCCGGCGAGAGCGAGCAGCATCTCGGGACTTTTCCTTCCTCAAAGCTTGTAAACTGAAGAAAATAAACAAAGTAGGACATTCATCAATATTAGTGTTATGTCACATGTAACGAACTTGCTTTTTCATTGCTGATTTTCAGTGTACATTATGACATTTTAAAAATGTTGTGAATGGATGCTCAGACTACAGGATACATTTAATGGTACTTCAATCTTTGAATAATTAAAACTAATGATAGTGTTTTATTTTTAGTTGTAGACATGTTACATAACTACTCTTAACTCATTTCATCCACTCTCTAATTAGCCTGTCCTTTATTTTTCTGCTGCCAGCCAGAAGAAAGGATTCCTAAGAACATGGGCTTTATCTATACAGATGCCACTGCTTCTTCTGACTCACTGAAAACTCATCTTTGTCCAAATTTGTACCAAATTCTGACTCCCATGGGAAAGGAGGTTAGATTCAGATGTCTGAAGTGTGTGCTATCACTGACAGGAGTTGCTGTAGCGGCAGTCAATATGACCAGACAGGCTATAAACTTCTGTGGCTCAGAACTGCTTTAAAGTCTGGTGTAATACTGCAAACCTACTGAGATTTCAAGAAGTTAATCTTTGTGACTTGTTTAGCTGGCCTTGCTGTGGAAACAATAACCATTGTCAGAGATTCAAGAAAGCAGTTAATGGAGTTATGCGCTTCATTTTTCCAATTTTAATTCAACGTCACATAAGACAGACTCCTACGCAGCTTTTTGGATTAGAGAGACCCTTCTACTTTATGCAAAACAGGTGGATATGCAAAGATGCTAATTTACTCCAGGTTTACTAATATATTGCTTGCTACCACCCATATGCCAGGCCTAAAATTAACTCAGATTTTACTCCTGTGCTACTTAATTTGTGTATAACTGCTGAACACACAAAGAGAAGACGCTGGGTCATCAAGGCTGTTGTCTTACCCTGATTTTTTCCTAAAAGTTAAGAAAACTCAGTTTCAGTTTCTTTCTTTCTTTGTTAATATCTGATATAATTGCTTTGCAAGAGAAAATGGATTCACACTGTTTGTTGTGTGGTTTGAAGCAAATGACGAAACGCACAGTAAGCTTACCAGAAGATTAAGAATCAATGTACAAACAATAAAAAGAACAGGTATGATTTTTTTTCCCCCTCTCTATGTAAGGGTTTTTTGGGAGACAAAGTAAAGTTTTCAGCTTAGGACACAAGTCTCGACTGCACATCTTATCCACATCTTGGTAAATAGAGGTTGGTGCTGATGTTTGTGTCTACCAGTCAGTTCTAGATCCTCAAAAAGGATATATCTTTACTTTGTTTTTGTTTGATTACTTATTAATTGTATGAAATTACAGTCAGAATTCCATTAAATACCCATTGGTTTAAGAAACCAATTTGAATAAAACTAGTGTGTAATGAAACAGCAAATACTTCTCTCAAGGTTCTACAACTCTCACTGAAACGTTGGTTTTCATTACTGAACAGTCTACAAAATCACTACAGCTTATGAAGTAGGTTAGACAAGTAAATTTAAAACTATGATTCTGAGACTCCTATTCACCTATCTTTCTAATTTGGGGGTGACTTAAACTACGGAAGAGATTATCTTGTTTTAATATTCTTACCTATGTACGTTTTTGCGGCTATCTCTGCCTAAGATACTCCTCAGAATTGAAAGGGCAGATCACCAGTGCATCACACTGCCCTGAGAATGATTAAAAACTTACATTTTGTACACAATTATATACAACTAGCAATTATATTTTAAAAGACAACTAAGGAATACAGGTAGTGCATGATCAGAACACCAGTGAGAAATGCCATCTATTTAGCCATAGATAAAGATACAATGTCCTATTGAATTCCATACTAAAAAACCTACTTGTCTTTATGAGCTGTCTCTGAACAGCTTGCAGCTAGATTGAAATTTACAAGCTATATTCTAAGTGACAAACAAGACTTTTGAAATTGAAAGGTATTAAGAATTGAAAAGTGATAGAATATTCTTAGGAACACCTAAAAGTGAAAGCACAGTTTACAAATCCTGTACAATGTTCAGAAGATTGCTAAAATTGAATAACGTATTACAACATAGGCTTATATAATGCATTACTGGATTGTTAAGTTTTGCAATAGAGTCAGTTCAGTGGAAAAGCAAGGCTCTCTACTAAGTAAACAGGTAGCTTTCAGAGCCATCTAAGTGTATTTAAACTTCTGGAATAAAAAAAAATCCCAGCGTACAAGTGATGGGAAGTTAATAAACGTGTGAAAGCAACTCTAAAGAAGTGGTAATATCAGTAAACATGACTTTCCCCCCAGCCATACTGTATACTGCTCCTTGTGAAAATACTAACCAAGTTAGTCAAGTCTAGGAGTTTGTAAATCTTGGCATCAGTGCATTTTGGTAAGTTTAGAAATGACGTCTGGCAAAAAGCGCATATAAGTCTCAATTTCTCTACCTACCATGCAGTTCTACCAATAGACAAACTCGACACTGTGGTAGTAGGATTGGACACCAAAATTACACTGATACAATGGATCTTTAATTTAGGAACAGCAATTTCCACAGCAGAATGCAGGAATTCATTAGATATGCCCTGAATATCTCTGGCACCTGTGATTCTGATAGGCAACATCAGCTTCATCATTGGACGCTCTTAACAGAGGAAAGTGCTGGCACTGACCATCCTAATAATGTATTATAAGAGGTGTGAAGCTCACAGCAGAAAGCTGTAGTGCTGACACCATACGTTGGGCACTTGTCATATGACATTAACATTAGAGGTAGTTCTTGGTAACAAATGAACTTGCTGGAAAACCAGACTGCAAATACTTAGAAATTCCTACTAATGAAAAGAATTGAAGTGTGAGAAACTGTACCCATGTTTACTATGTTGATTCCACATTCAGAAAGCACCTAGAAATCAAATACTGTGTGTGTCTTACATGAGGATTAGTTCTTAGATGAAGTCTCCCAACAGACAAGCAAATCTACATATGCTGTCTATGCTACCAACAAGGAAATAACGAAGTGTGAAATACACCCAAGGGACATAAAGATTGCTCCCTCCTTGCTGCCTGTGGAGAAGGGGAAAGAGCTCAGATAATTGGATCAGAGTACATCCCTGTTTAATATCAAAGAATGATGTCATGATACAATGGTAAAACTTCATGCATTCCCCTAAGAACATACTTCTAAAGCAATTTTAATACAGAGTCCACTAAAGAAGACAAAGAGGTTTTCAGCTGCTAGCTCTTGATAATTCTGAGATGCAATAGCATATAAACAGAATATTTAATGACTAGAAAACTATTGCTACTTTAGATAGGAAGTTTCTAAAATATATATCATTTTTCCTTCTAGGGCCTTTTCAGATGGACTGATATAAAGCAGGTCTGCTTTTACAGTTGAAAGGGTACGATAAATAGCATCGTATAATTTTAAAACGGTGTACACAACATTTCAAAAGTAAATTTTCTATTGAAGACACAGCAGATGCAGAAGACATGATAATATGCTGTTGCATAAAAGTTTTATTGGTACTCATAACTCACTTGTGATTTCATTGTGCTTGTGGTCATTCTGAGCTTAACCTGCTTCATATTTTATTCCACATCATTTTATATATTTTATATTCATAAGCATATAAATGCATCCATGTCTATGTTCACCCCTCCCCCAATCTCCACGTCTGACAGATCATCATCTGTCAGTTTAAAGATGGGACAAGCACAGCTCCTAATTTTTGCAGGATATAATGGCAATCAAACATATTACAGCATATCAGCAGATGCAATGACCTACATTAGTAAGGATTTTTTAACATATCAATACCTCACCTGTGTGTCTCAGTTTGGGTGGTAAAAATCAGTGAAATAATTTAATGTCGTGAGTTTGCATTTTGAATGAAAACAGGGGAATGGCTGTGGTTACAAATAAGTATTTTTATCTACAATTTCAGAATGCAGCTCGGAAGCAGACGCATAGAAGGCTACCCAGTTTTAGAAAAGGAGTTCACATTTACAACTCATTCATACTCTTTAAGCTCAATGTAGGTAACTGGGGTGTGATCATCCCTCTGCATTCAGCTCTGGTGAGGCTGCACCTCAAGTACTGTGTTCAGTTTTGGGCCCCACAATAACAAGAAAAACATTGAGGCCCTGGAATGCATACATAAAAGGGCAACAAAGCTGGTGAGGAGTCTGGAACACACATCTTATGGGGAGGAGCTGAGAGAGCTGAGATTGCTTAGTCTGAAGAAGAGGAGGCTCAGGAGAGGCCTTATCACTCTCTTCAAGTACCTGAAAAAAGTTTGTGGCGAGGTGGGTGTCAGCCTCTTCTCCCATGCAACTAGTAATAGGACTAGAGGGAATGGCATCCCGTTGCATAAGGGGAGGTTCAGGCTAGATGTTATGGATAATTTCTCTGAAAAGGTGGTCAGGCACTGGAATGGGCTTTCCAAGGAGGTGACTGAATCACCATTCTGGATGCTCTGGAGGTGTTCAAGAAATGTTTGGATTTTGTACTAAGGAACATGGTTTGGTGGGGAAATATTGGTGATAGGTGGACATCGGGACTGTATGATCTTGGAAATCATCTCCAAAGTACGTGATTTTATGATTCTATTTCTTTAAGTGCAACACAGACAACTGGGGTTTCCTGTAGATAGTGGTTTCTCCCCAGTTCAGCCCCATATACCAGAAGCAGTGAAGTTTTACAGTGCTTCCACTGCACTGGTCATAAATAGAGATCGAAGTGGGTGCAAAAGCTATAAAACGAGGTTTGAGGGACAGACAGGCTACTGAGATCCAGCTAGAATGGTTAACGCCAACAGACAGCGTGCCAGTAGTGTTCCATCACCGCTTTTGCTCATTTTTATTAGTTACAAGCAGAAAGGTATGGCACAATGAATAGGCAATTATTGCCAGAGTTCTTTTGTGTTTCTAGATTTCTACCGAAATCCTCCTTGACTTCAGGAGCAGCTTTACTACAAGGGCAACAGTATACTGAAATGGAGCACTTCTTGTAGTACTAAACAATATC